AGCTGTCCCCTGTGCTTTTCTTTAAAAGCACGTCAGTGAACTTCTCTGAAACTTTGGTTCCCCTGAGAAAAGTTGCTTTGGGAGTTATAAGAAACCTGTCTTTCGTGGCTTTTGTCCTGTGGGGCCAAGAGGTAACGGGTTGAATGAAGGAAGGAGCCTTCATGGGTTTATGCTCTAGAAAGGTAGGGGACAGAATCTCTGCATGCTGAATTCATCATTAAGTTCTCAAACAGTCTGAAGAAGTGATCATCCGCCTTTTTAGTTCTGAATACTGTCGGAGAAGGTCAAGGAGCACATAGGAATTTTGTTAAGCAGTGGGGTGGAAGTCAGGTTGCCAAGGACCTCTATAGTCAGGAAACGAGTCAAGACCCATTCCGTGCTTAGTTTCCCTGAAATGTGACTAGAGGAAAGTTTTGGAAGGAAAATGATACCCACAAAAACCCATTTTTCATTGATGGCAAATGTTTGAGGTGACTCGTAGGTTTTAGGGTACCGTGCCACCAATTTTTTTTTTTCACATCTGAGAAAACTCCACTTTCTCCAAACATTTAGACCCTTTCTAAAAGCTAAAGAAAACCGCCACTAATCAGTGGTACTCATTGTTTCTGTGTTGGTTTGGACTTCAGCCATAGCCGTTTATAATTCTAGAAACAGGTGCTGGTTAATATCCTTCCAACTATTATTCCACAGCACCTTTTTATGAGCTTGGACTCTTTAGACAGATATTGAGAAAGCACTTTGAGAGAAAGTGTTGACCTTGGCATAAGGCATATACTGGAGTCCCACTTGACATTAGCAAAGTGAACCTTAGCAAGTCACAACCTCAGTCTCCTCAAATGAAAAATGGGAATAACTGCTTATAACTACCTATTTCACAGGATGGATGTGAGAAAACACTTGCAAATCTCACAGCCCAGGTAAATATGATTTATTCCTGCAGGAGGGAATGCAGGTTAAGGACTACATGAGTTTAAATAACTGAAGCTTTTATGTTGCTTTATGAATTACATTTTTAACACTAAATTTTATCTTTAAATTTTAAGTTTTCAATTACTCCACATAGAATATATGTTTGGTTATTTCTTTTAACCCCAAAATCTGGAAGACTCAACTCTAAAGAAAAGATCTTTGACTTTTTAAGACTTCCCCTTCATCAAAGAGAGGAATTGCATTTTGGAATTATCCTGGTCCTATTCCTTTTGTTTTTTGGGGTTTTTACCTGTTAAATCTTAAACACCCCCGAAATTCAGTGATTTGGTGTTCTGACTGCTCTCAAATTGATAGTAACTTTTCAATTCTGATTTATTTTAAGTTCTACTTATGGTTGGGGAGTTTTTTTTTTTAAATATAAAAACTCAATTTTCAAAGTCTTTTAGGGTTTCTGAAAATCCATTATCTGTAGAAGAGCATAAGCATGGGCAGCTAAGTGGCAATAATAGATAAGAGCACCGGCCTTGGAGTCAGGAGGACCAGAGTTCAAATTCGGTCTCAGACCTGACACTTGACATTTAATAGCTGTGTGACCCTGGGCAAGCCACTTAACCCCGATTGCCTCACCAAAAATAACAAAAAAAAGCCTAAGCAGATAATTATGGGGTACATGGCCCATGTTCCTTAATTTGTAAATGTGCCAATTTCTAAATCCTCCCTGTAAAAGTCGACACTGATCATTATTGCTTGGTAAGTGATTTATGTACTTATTTGGCAACTTTTTTTTTTCATTGGGCCACTAGGTGGCACAGTGAATAGAGTACCAGGCCTGGAGTCTGGAAGATTTCTGGAGCTCAAGTGAGGCCTCACGTACTCACTAGCTGTGTGACCCTGGGTAAATCACTTAACCCTGCCTTGGGTTTCCTCAGAGCTAGAGAAGGAAATGGCAAACTACTCCAGCATCTTTGCTAACAAAACCCCAAATGGAGTCATGGAGAGTCAGACATGATAACATTTTTTCTTATCAACTCAGCACATTTAATTCAATGTGCATTTTATTTATTTTGGCTAGGCAATAGGGTTAAGTGACTTGCCCAGGGTCACACAGCTAGTAAGTGTTAAATGTCTGAAGCTGGATTTGAACTTAGGTCCTCCTTACTCCAGGGCTGGTGCTCTATACACTGTGCCACCTAGCTGCACCTCAATGTGCATTTATTAAGCACCTACAAATATGTAAGATTTGTGATAAAAAGATACAATGAAAAAAATGGAGGACTAGAACATTTACATAAGTACAAGATACTATTTAAGAGAATTTTACTACCAGGGAGTAGTAAGAAACAGTTCCTACAGGTCACACCTGAGCTGAACTTGTTATAAGAAGCAGAGCTGGCTGGATGACAAACTGGCATTCATTGGAGGTGGAAGTAATGTCCAATTCAAGGCCCAGCAAGTAGACCAGTGTGACTGGTATGTAAGCATGTGTGAAGGGCCGTAACATGGAATAAACCTGGAAAGGTATGCTGCTGTCAGACTGAAGGTCTTGGAATGCCAACCTCAGGAGTTTTTAGCCTGGTGGTACTAAGCCGAGTAAGGCCAGCCCTTGGCTGTAAGGCTTTTGGAACTGTGGGAAGGAGAGATAATGTTAGAGAGCTAGGGTTCTTAGGAAGGAGAGAAGGGGAGAGATGCAAAAAATGTGGCAATTGAATTGGCAAAGCATTGCAACTGGCTGGATTTGTGGGGTGAGACAATGAAGAATTGAGATTGACTCTAGGACTATAAGTTTCAGTGACTAGGTTTATGGTGTCTTCAACAAGAGGAGATTGGTGATTAGGGGAAGATAATGAGTTTCACGTTGGCCTACTGATTTTGACATGCTTACAGAATATCCCAGTAGAGATGTCTAGAGGGCAGTAATGGACTGGAGTTTCAAGGAGAGATTAGGGAGGGATGTATAAATTTGAGAATGGATAACGGAATAGACAAAGGGTATGGGTAAGATCAGCAAAAGTGCAGAAAGGGAAAAGAAAAAGATCCAAGACAACCCTCAAGACAACAAGGAGAAGAAAGAATCCAGGGAAGGTTGGTAATAAGAACCAGGAAATTTTCACAAAAAGAGCACATGCAGGAGGGGTTGATCAAAACTGTCAAAAGTTAGTCAAAGAGGATTGAGAAGCCTCATCAACGCATCTATTGGTAACCCTAAAGAGGAGTAGTATAATCACAGCCAGATTATAAATGAGGGTGAGAGATGAGAAATAGAGCAATGGCCAGCTTTTGCTAGGAATTTGGCTATAAAAAGCATCGTAGGATAATATAGATCGAGGTGGTAAAAGAGCGCAATAAAATTTAAAGGATGGTGGAATTCCAGGCATGTTTATAAGGCAATGGAAGAGTTTTAAGGGGGCAGATAACAGATGGGGCAAGAAGACATCTTTAGCATTGACAGGAGCAAAGAAAAGGAATAGGGATAGTGTGAGGATTCTTGGCTACAACAGGGAAGAGTGAACTCTGGACTAATGTCTTACTATTTTCAGCAACAAAAGGGGTGAAGTTCTTTGCTGACAAAAAAGGAAGCAGCTTGAGAAAAGTTAATCTGGAACAATTGTTGTAGGAAGCGGGACAGTCAATCAGGGAAGAAAACAAAGGGCTGCTGTTAGCAATGAGAACACAGTAAACACCAAAGACCAATCTGTAGTGAATCCAGTCCACACTGCAGCCTTCATCTAGGAGGTTAGCAGCATAGATGTTGGGTTCTTTCCTTGTTTAGGTACTGAGGACTCCATTCCACCAGTTATCTCCTTCAGTTTGGTATCAAGGTTCTTTATTAGTGCCTTCAGGATATCAGTAATCCTAAAATTACTGCAGTTAAGATCTTTGTTCCAGGTCAGTCACTTGGGTCTCTGTTTTCCAATAGTTTGGATAATTAAGTGATTTTTTTAAGCTTATATTTCCAGTTCTGAGTTTTGTGCAATTCCCATTTCTCGTTTATTGCTTCTAGATGAACTTATTAAGGTTTCCTATTGTGTTCTCTATATTGGTCATTTTCTTCACCAATTTTTTTTTTTTTTTTTGGTGAGGCAGTTGGGATTGACTTGCCCAAGGCCACACAGCTGGTGAGTGTTATGTGTCTGAGGTCGAATTTGAACTCAGGTCCTCCTGACTCCAGGGCCTGTGCTCTATCCACTGCACCACCTAGCTGCCCCTTATTTCCTCTCTTTTTAATGTCTTAATTCATATGATCACCCAGTATATTAGCTATCCCTCCCAGCTTCGGAAGAAATATCAATACATAGGAGGAATAGAAATATCAATTTCTACTTTATTTTAGTCTCTTGCTTTTCTGAACATTAGCAGTTTGTGCTCATTATCTTCCATTGTATACAACTGGGGAGGTCTATCAGGATCTGCCTGCATGGTTTCTCTTCTCTATTGCTTCTAATGTTTTATTTTATTCAATTGTTCTACTCTTTTCTCGGTTTAAGCTGTTTTTTCCTTTTCTTTTCCTTGTTGGTGAGGCATCTGAGAAACCCAACATTGGATTTATCCCTGAATTTTACCTTAACAGAGCTTAAAGTAAGCTCAGGACTGAACTGTGTTGCCAGAGTCACAATTAGCTCATTAATTGCAGAATGTGTAAATCAGAGTTTTCTTTGGCAGATCTGTTTATACTAGACTTCTTAGATAAGTCCAGTTACCATTTCAAACTGATTCATTCATTACTGTTTTAAGTAACATTGGTTCATAATTTGAGTAAAAATTAGTATTTGGTTTACTTTTTAGAATTCAAACCGGTTTGGGTTAAGGCTCTACTGTAGAAACACAGTTTACTTAAATAGAATGATTCAAATGAGACAAATGAATATTGCTGAAAATGAACTTTGGTATTTTCCTTCTGTTATAAGTTTTTTAAAAAAATACTTAAGAACATTTATCCCACCACCTACTGCCCCCACCAAAAAAAGCATAAATTTCATTTAAAAACTGGGTCTTATGCTTTTGCTTAGATGGTACAAGAACTAGGTTTACTAAGTCTCCTGCAAAAAAAAAAAGAGAGAGAGATGCACATGTGTTTTGTACTTTATTTTATTCAGTTCAGCACTAATAGATAAGGCATTTACATCTGCCATATTTCATCTGCCACATCTTTTTAACTATATCACAAACCAAAATGAAAGACTGCTAATATATAAAAAAATCAAAGGGACAATGTCATGATTGTCAAACAGGGAAATGAACCCCAAAATAAATTATCTTACAAAAATATCAAACTTGTTTTTTCAAACATGTTCCTACCGATAAAAAAATTCACATTAAATTTTTTTAAGTTGGTATAGCTAGTTAAGACCATTATTTTAACATAGTAGGGCCTTAAAATAAATATTTTACACAAATGTAAAATTATCTCAAAAATCAAGTATTATCTTATGTTTGGTTGGTCCTTAAAGGACAAACAAGCTGATAAAGTGTCCTAGAGATCATGTGCCGTATATACACATGCACACATGTACACCAATATATGTAATGTAGCTAACACTGTACGGACTACTTCTGTGAGTAGTTTTACCCTGTGAAAATCCTCTAGAACAGGGGTGGGGAACCTGTGTCTTTGAGGCCACATGTGGTCCTCTAGGTCCTCAAGTGCGACCTTTCGACTCAGTCCAGTGGCCTCGAGGCCGCAGGTTCCCCACCCCTGCTCTAAAATATGTCAAACTTCACTACAAAGTTTGAGCAAAAGAAAATACTTTGGTTAGATTATTATAGGCTTTTTTGTTTTAGGCACAAAAAAATACAGAAAGTCAAATGCTTTGAAGACTTAAGTATTATTATTGAATGTAAAAATTCAATACTGTTTTCAAAATCCCTGAACATACAAGGCACACTGGTGAAGGGCTAATCTAATGAAAGAGCAAACAGGACTTTGATTTCTAGTTGGATCTTTTTTTTTTGTTATAAATTAAAATCTATATAGGAAGAGAGGGCAGACATTGTAAAAAAAGAAAACTGGAATGCTCCACATTTGCAATTCATAAGAGCCCTAACAGACAATGCAGAACTTACATTCCATCTATTGTTGTTAATATACTACAACTGCATCATGCCTGAAAGCTTTCTATAAGGCTGTGGTCTCAAAATAGGCAGATTTAATTGTAAGGGCATGCAAATGTAGTTTTTCCATCATAATAACTGAAATTAATAAGCAGTGAAAGGTTTCAGGACAGGCTGTGTAAAAAACTCCCCACCCACTCCCTCCTCCACATTTTATTCTGAGAAATCCATTTAAATTTTTATCATAATGTGGTATTTGCTTACCACATACTTGGAAATAAACTTGACTGCATTATGCTTTTGTCCAAAAACTGCATATATTTTTAAATGAATCCTGTTAGAAACACATTCAATTTCTAAATTGCCTACTTGAGAGATGAGTCTGGCTTTGTCACTTAGTTAACTCGGCTGAGGATATCTCTGCTAAAAACCTTCAACCTAATACTAATTAATCACAAGACTAAAATACTAATACTTTCCAACCAGGGTAAAAAAATGAACACCCAAAGTAAAGAGAAACATACGATTGATCAAGTAACCAGTCAAAAACCACTTCCCTATTATTGGAGCTAATAGTGACTCTCAGCTTAAAGTTCCCAGCATCATCATTATTAGTGGTAACTAGGGTCACTGCTTCCATGTCAAACGTGACAGTAGACCCAGAAGTAACTGCTGGCAACTGATTTGTCATTTCCTTCCCGTTGACAAAAACGGCACCTGAAAGAGAAAGAAAGAACGTCACTCGCATGTGTACAATGAAGCTGAACAAAGAAGAGCCATCCAAACCATGATTCCACGACCAACCAAATTTTCATTCTGGCTAAGCTAAGAATATAAGTTATATTAACAAACTCTGTTGCTTAAATGGTTTAGAATTTCAATCTTTCATAGATCATAACTAAATGATTTGTTGCCAGTACAAACAAAGACACAGCTGTGTCTCACGACACAAAAACATGAACTATTCGAAAACTGATTTGTCCAATGGAATCACTGTGTTGTAGTTGAACAATGGACTGGGAATCAGGAAGGGTCCTCAGAGACTGTCTAGGTCAAGAGTTCTTAACCTTTCTTGGGTTGTGGACCTTGTTGGCATTCTGATGAAGCATATGGACCCCATGCCTCCTTCTCAGAATGTTTTTAAATACATAAAATACATAGGATTACAAAAGAAAGGAATCACATTGAAATAGTTATTTTAAAAAACCAAACGCATTCACAGACCCTGGTTAAGAATCTTTGATCTAGGACCAATCCCCTTATTTTACAGACTGAAAAAAATGGAGGCCCCAACATCATAGAACTAGTTAAGTGGGTGGTGAAGATCTGAACCCAGATATTCAGCCTCGAATTTCTATTTTATTGCATTGATTCCTTGACCTGAGTTAGTCTCGATCAGCCACGAACCAGGAGTGTGACATTAGCCAAGCTGTCCCATTCCTTTCATCTGTAAAATTAAGATTGAGATCATACATGTAAAGTTGGAGATGAGAGAAACTGTAACGTCTCTTGTCACAGTAATATATACACACATATGTATGTATGTATGTATGTATGCATGCATGCATGTACAGACTGAGATCAGGAAGACTTTAACTATCTCTTACTAGACAGGCCTTGCATAAGAATATCTTCTTGAGTGTTTTATGCAGACATTTTAAAACAAAGTTAGTTCTTACCATTTGTACCAATACACACTGCTTGATCTCGCTGCAGGGAGTCGTACCCATTCTGTTTTTCCACACAAACTCCTATACTGTCCCGCCTATCTGGCTGGCCCACAGTTTCGACTCTGCATGAGAAGGGTAAAAGTTGATTAAAAAAACCCCAAAACAACCTACAATCTGGTAACCCAAGGGGTTCCGATTCTAAAACCTGCAGAGCAGTCCCGCTGGGACTTCTCCTTTCCAAATGTCCCAAATGCCTGTTTCTATTTCACACTCAGTCCCAAACCTACTACAGTAATGCAAGTTGTGGTTATCACCACGCCCAAACTACTTCTCTCAGGTGCTGTGAAGCACTTGGGCTAGAAATGTGTCTTCGGACCTCCCAAAATGGAGCAGGTCAGCCTTCCACTGACTCCCACGTTGTGTATCACTCGGCTTCATGATTGACAACTGGCCTAAGAGCGAAGCAACATTTCAGTCCCCAGAATCTTTCCCTCATGTTTCAGGAAGGTCCATCTTTACTTGGGAGCGGACAGATTAACGTGAAGTTGGAGGTTACCCTGAGGAGGGTTTTGTTAACATGATGGCACTTTACCACCCAAGGTTCTTCCTAGAATAATGGATGATGAGAGAGAAGAGAGTAGTCTAAGAATCAAATCATGTTTCAGAGAGGGTTTCCTTCACTCAAGTCAACAGTTTAACTAAGATATTTGGGGGGGGGTTTCTGTTTTAGATGTCTGAGGATATTAGAAGGAATCTAATATTTCCAAGGAGAATCATAAAACCAAAATTAACAAAATCTGCAAAAAAAATTTCTCAAAATAGTGATAAAGGGAAGAAAGTTCTTTAGTCACAAGCATGTATGAAATTATCAATACCTAGTATGTTCGTTTGAGAATTGTTTCTCTTTAAACAGAAACAAAATATGTCTACAGGACAATCTGAAACCAAAGTATCCGAATTTCCTCTAAATGTTTTAGTATGAAGGTAGCAGCATTTTACTCAATCTTGCTTTATTTGAATTTACATGTGTATGAGTTTCCAAAAAATAATTTTTTGGGGGAGGGGGAGGCAAAGGGGTTAAGTGACTTGCCCAAGGTCACACAGCTAGTAAGTGTCAAATGTCTGAGGCCAGATTTGAATTTAGATCCTTCTGACTCCAGGGCCAGAGTTCTATTCACTGCACCACCTAGCTGCCCCTAAAATACAATTTTTTAAAAGTAAAAAACTAATGTTTCTAAAATGTGGAAATTCATAAAAATAAGAGTCATTCTCCAACTGATAAATGGTCAAAGGATATGAACCTGCAGTTTTAAAATTATCTAGTCATAAGAAAAAATGCCCTAAATCACTGCTGATTAGAGAAATGCAAATTAAAACAATTCTGAGGCACTACCTCACACCTATCAGAAATGACAACTGCTGAAGGAGATGAAGGAAAATAGGCACATTAATGAATTGTTGATAGAGTAGTGAACTGGTCCAACCATTCTGAAGAACAGTTTGGAATCATGCCTACCCTTTCATCCAGCAATACCACCACTGGGTCTATACCCCAAAGAGATCAAAGAAATAGGAAAGGGACCTATGTGTACAAGGATATTTATGGCAGCTCTTTTCGTGATGGCAAAGAATTGGAAATTGAGGGGCTGTTCATCAAATGGAGAATGGCTGAACAAGTTGTGGCATGACTGTGATGTAGTACTATTGTGCTATAAGAAACAAATGGGGACGGTTTCAGAAAAAACAAACCAGAAAACAAAAAACAAGGCAAGACCTGTATGAACTGATGCAAAGTGAAGTGAGAAGAACTGGGAGATCACTGTACACAGTAACGGCAATGCTGTCATGATGATCAACTGTGAAAGGCTTGGCTACTCAGAACAATACAGTGAGCCAGGACAATTCCAAAGGACTCATGGTAAGACAATGCCATCCACCTCCAGAGAGATGACTGAGTCCAGACTGAAGTATGATTTTCTCTTTCTCTCTCTCTCTCTTGCTTTCTTTCTTTTGTGATATAGCTAATAAGGAGGTATCTTTTGCATGATTTCACATGTATAGCTGATATCATATTGTTTGGGGGAGGGGTGGCAGGGAGGGAGAGAATCTGGAACTCAAAATTTAAAAAGAGAAGAATGCTTTAAAATAAATAAATAATGGATTTAAAAAAAAAAACAAAATAAAACTCTTTGACCCTTCCCTCTTTTGTAACCGCAGATAAGAAAAAACCTGAACTACACTGCATCTCTATGGGGGAATTCATGCTCAAAACACAAAACCTCAGCTAAGCTGCATCCTGCCAAGAGAGTGTATTCTGTCTCAAAATATGGAAGCAGTGATAAGATTTTGAAGTCTCCACTGTTAAGACAAAATTGACTGATTAATCTTAAGCTTGAATGGGCTTGCATGGGCTTGCCTTGGGAGACAACTGGTTCTCCTCTTATGAAATGTCTTCAAAGGCTGGAAGGACTGTCCAGGGGATTTCACAGGAGGAGGAGGAGGGGGAGGGGGAGGGGAAGAGGAATGACATGGCCCTTCCATCCCTAAGGCTCTGAGACCCCAGCCCTGCTCCCCCCTTCTCTTATCTCTCTTCTCTTCCTTAGAATCCTATTTGGATTTCCCTATGACTTTCATAATCTACACAGAGGATTACTAAAGCTACATTTCTACCGCTAACATCCCTGGAGATTGCTCGAATTTCAAATACCTGCCAGACCCATGAGATACTGTCCTCAAACTTCAAGCTGAACATGGTTGGAAACTCACCTGAACCCTGGGCCCAATTTCCTGACTCAAGTTGAAGTCACTGTTCTCCTGGCCAACTAAACTCAAAACCCTGTGATCAGCTTTTGACTGCACTCTTCCTCCCCCTGCAAACATCTGACAAGTTCTGCCTTCTCATGCTTCTGTCCTGTCCCTTGCATTCATCTTTCTTTCCAGCCCCACTACTCTACTCTAGCCTTCATTATATCTCCTCTAGTCTCCTGTGCCAGGCTTCTAGCGGGCCTCACTGATTCTGTGGTCTCTCCTGGTTCCAATTCACCTTCACAACACTGCCACCAGCTCTGGCTAACGTACATAGCTGATTAATTAAGCCACTCATCTGCTCAGAAACCTTCAGCGGGAGCTGAAATATAAATATAAATCCTGTGTTCCAACATTCAAGGCCCATTACCATCAGGGCCTTGTTCACATCATGATTTTATACGAGTCCTTTGAATACATTCTACATTTCAGTCAAACTAGGCTGCTAAGTCATTTCCTAACCTCCTCTATGCATTTGTACAGGCTGACCCTCAAAGTTAGAATGTACTTTCTTTACAATTCCGCATATAAAACTCCTTTCTCCTTTCCAGGTCCAACTCAGATGTCATGTCCTCCACAAAACCTCACCTGGTTTTTCCAAACTAGATCCCCTCATTCCCTAACCTTTTACCCCTCTCTGTGTGACCACAGAGCCTTTATTTCACTCTAATTGCATTAGAGCAGTATTCAGAGCGCATTGCCTTATCAGACTGGAAACGCAGTGAGGGAAAAGTAAAGTAACAGGCACTTAAGTAAATGGATGTAAAATAGGGATCATCACAGCACTTGACTGAGAGGTTGTTGTGAGGACCAGGTGAGATAATACACGCAAAACTTTCGGCCAACTTTAAAGTGCTCTATGTTAGCTCTTCTTATTGAATCACGGCCTTGCAGAGGTGAGTCAGTAATGAGTGTTAGATCTACACCTGACCATACCACGATCAGTTTAACTGTGATCAACAAAGACAAGTCATTCCAGCTACCTGAACCTATGTCGTTCTCCCCCCCTCCCCATGTAAAATGAGAGGGCTGGCCTAAAGCCCTTTCCTCTTCCACCACACGTTCTATTTATGCAATTCTGGCTTATTTCCCCAGCACTTGCCTTCTTATCAAAGGAATGAATGCTGCCATCTTACCAAACCCACTTTCTCCTGAAAGCACTACCCCCAACGCATCTGCTCCCAAACACACCCCCTCCTAATAAGGTCTAGGGACCTCTTAAAAGAAAAGATAAACATCAGCTCTTAGATCAGACATTCAAGAACAGCGTAGGTTCTCTAGGAAAATCTCTATCAACTAAGAGGATTTGTCTGATCACACGCTTTGTCACAAACATAGCTAGAAGCAGAAATGATGTAGGAAGTAAAGGGATGCATCCTAGAACACAAAGTGGGAAGGGGCTTCTGTACCCTTTAAAATAATTAAATTATTAACTAAAATAAGACCAAATGTGCTGGTGAACACAAACTTGTCATGCAGAAATGTCAAGGCAGAGGAGCAGAGAGCAAGGTTATTGTCAGGAAGGTAAAGGGGCCTAAGCTGTGTTAGGACAGGAGAGGTTTGAAGGCAGAGGAGCGGCAATGGGCAGTGCGGAAAGAGAAAGGACGACAGTGCTCGGTTCAGAACAAGGGGCCTCAAGTTCAAATCCCAGCCTGTAGGACCTTGAGAAAGTCACTGAACCACTGAGGGTCTGCACATTCTCATTTCTAAAACGAGAAGGGTGGATCCCAACTCTGAACCTAGAAACAGCAGGCAGCAGGTACTAGACGGGGCCAGCAACTCACGCTCCTCTCTTTCCAGCAGATCCAGCCTGTCCAACCCCCTTTTCCCTCTCCCTTGACTTTTTCGTCTATTGGAATGATATTTTCTATAAGGCTTGTAATTGGTTCAAGGCATGAAAGGCATACACAACAATTAACCATTTCTTTGGCATCTGGAATATTTTCAACTAGTTTTATTAAGTTATAAGCACCCCTTTCCTTGGACATCCTTTTTAAGATTAAGTTCAGAGATTCAGAAAAAATTTTTTTTTTACCAACTTAATCAGTGAACAACCTTTGCTCGTCTTCTGCAATCGTTATACTTCCTTGTAAGACACAACTGCTTTTTTTTTTTGGCAATTCCAGCTCAGGCTGAGCAGACAAAGGAGAGATGAGACCTTTTTCATTATCTTTTATCTGGGTGAGTGACAAAGGAGCTTTTCTCCTCCGCAAGATATTTAGTTAGTATAGATCTTCTACTACTGATAGATGCTTTTCTTAAAGTGTGCCTTCCCTTCTCAAAAGTTTGGGATCTGTCTCTGAATTTGGTCCTGAAAGCTGAAGCAAGCATGGCTTTAGAAACACAGGCAGCTGCAGCTCCTCTCCTGGTGACATACTTCTGAATGGTGCTTAACTTTCTTTTACACCACGAGAGGGATTTATTTTGACATCTGACAGAACTGGCTTTGATAATGATAACCCCCTTTTAATAAGGCTCCCTTCACGTAGTAACACTGGTGGTTTCTCTCCCCTTGTTCAGGACAGAATGGACATGCTTTTTTATAGGAAGCTGAAAGACTAATTCATTCTGGAAAAAAACAATATTGTCATATTAAGTGGAAACAGTAACATCTTTACAGCCTCAATGAGGCTGTGTATTGACTGAGGCCTTATTTTAGGAGGAACTTGAAGGCTTCTTACCTGTCACAGAACTTTAGTTCTGAATTTGCAGTGCCTTTTGAGATCAATAACTTTAATCTGGCCCACGAGGACAAGGAGAGCCAAGGCCCAGTATTTGGGCCAAATTAGCATCTGGCTTCAACTTCTGTGCAACCAGATGCTGCTTCTTACTATTTACCTCAGGGCAAAAGGTCCGGCTCAGTGACACACAACTGATTTTACGGTCCTACTCATTGAGTGACACTTTTATAGTTTCATCCTAGTCCTCAGGATAACAGGCATCAATATCTATGGTTGAACTGGTCCAGACCAGAGGTGGGGAACCTGTGGTCTCAAGGCCCCATGTGGCCTTCTAGGTCCTTGGGTGAGTCCAAATTTTACAGAACAAATCCTTTTATGAAGGGGATTTGTTTTGTGAAGTTTGGATTCAGTCACAGGGCCACACCTGAGGACCTAGAGGGCCACACGTAGCCTTCAGGCGGCAGGTTCCCCACTCCGGTGGTACACAGTGGAGCACTGCAAAGGCCCGCCACCGCTTTTTTTCCACTGTCAGTGCATTTTTTCTTGATGAGCATTTCCTTCGTCATTCACTGAAGGGCTGTTAAGTCTCGGGGCTACTGTTACTTCTTGGAGGAGGGCTCCAGATGGCTCTCCATCCCAGTCACCATTACTTTAAACCTGGGCCAGAACTGACTTGAGAGCGGCCACAGACTCACATGCATCACGGCTGGAGTCAGGGTGAGGGCAGGAAGGGCAGGGCCCTTCAGCAGCGAGCCCGCACCCTGGACACCACTGACCGAAGTTAAAGTCACAGATTCTTAAATAATGAATATAAGGATGGGTGAGTGTACTGACACTTTCAAAAACCCTTGACTATAGTCTGACCCAAGCTCCATGTTTCTATCACTTTTGCTGTTGAGGGCCTTTTACTGTTAATTACAAACACCATTACGTGATTGGGGGAGGGGCATCGACAAAACAGGACATTTTGATACTTGTTAATAATTCAAAAAATGTGGCTAGAGAAGAAGTTGGTGGTTTAAAAAAAATCTTCAAATGCCACCACCCTGTCTTGTATCACAAGGAACAGAGAGTTGTGTTCATGGAAGACAGAGGGTACATGATATAGCCAATATGGGGCCATATTTGAACATGAAAACTTACCCTCTTAGGACCTGAAATTTACAGAAGGATTTGCCTTGCCGAAATGAAATATAGCAAGACAAGACAAGACAAACCCAAAACACAAAAGTGTAGAAATGAAATATCAGGTAAACCTTTCCTTCTCTAAATAAAGTTTCGATTTTTAAGAGGACTAATTTGGAAAAGTGACTTTGGGATACACAAATGAGATGACATAAAAATGAACAAACTAAAACACATGAAAGTAACAGGGATTTGGAAGATAAAATGGATAGCTGACAGAGAGACCTAATAATTTGGTTTTAAGGGAAGATTACAGCTAGAGACAGTAAGTTTTTATTGCTAGTCTTTTTCACACCCACACACCCTGATACACAAAACTTGGAACAAAACATTCTTTGACTTCCTAATCTGTAATGCTATGACTGTGTCTACTTTTTAACACTGATGAATAACAGTCAGCACTAATATTGATTTCACTACGAACCTGCTAATTTTCCATTTAGCATTCTAAAGAAAATGCCCAAGAAACCCAGAACCAACAAACTTTCTCTAAATTTTTAGTGGCCCATTTCAGAAGTAAAGAAGGCTAAAGATATTCAAAGAAAATGTATTTCCTAAGTGCCCCACACATATTCCAGCATCTACTTGCCTGAAGGTTAATGTCTGCCCACAGAAATAGGTTGGAGCACTGGAGTAGAGAACCCCTGTGGCCTGGGAATCGTTCCGGAGTGCTATGTTTCTTCGGCTGCTCAAGCTGTAACCCTCAAAGCCAGCTGTCCACTCTTTTTGGAAGCAAAAATATGAAAAATTAATGGAATCATACCCTTACTGTACAATCTGAGATAAAGGTAAGGCTGGACAAGAATCATGACTCTAGATCATACATGATCAATACACATGCTATAATCTGACAGTTACTCCCACAAGTATGTTCCTGCCTGGCTGTGAGATGCCAATGTTGAAAATAAAGTCATGACGCTCAAGTCCTCCGTCTAGTTAACGCTACCTTCTATCTTCTCCCCAATACAAATATGATCAAATTTATTCCAGCTTACTCTGATGCAGTTTATCCAGGGAAATTTTATTCCAGTCAAATTGATAACTCATCTAAAATACAACTGGGTCTAATTTTTGCTAAAATAATAAGGTCAATTTCAAACTCTTCAAGGAAAGCTCTGTCCACAGACCTGCTGAACTCCTTACTCAAGTCTGTAAGTGACTCTTAAATCCTCACATTTAGGTCAGCTTCCACAGCCCTGTCTAGACTTATCTCTGGTCATAAAACCACATGAGATAAACGTATGTGAAGCACTTTGCAAACTTCAAAGTGCTTAAATTACAAATGCCAGTGCACGATTATTGTTGTTATCATTATAAAACAAGGCATTAAGATTGCTAAGAATCTTTCTCAATGGTGACAAAGCGCTGGGAGCAGAATGGGATAGAATTTGAAAGTTGCACTCACTCCCACGCTCTAAACCTCTAGGTCAAGATCCATCCCAAGGAACTGTCCCTGAGGAACTAAAAGCACAAAATGTACTATTTTGATACAGAGACAGTGCTACAGAAAAGTGACAAGAACGGCGACGTACCGTGAGGCACCAGTGTAGAATGGCCCATCTGGGGAACACTCCAGGGACTCCATTCCTGCCGACCATCCCCTCGGGCGCAGACTCTGAACTGATAGTCAACGTTGGGATCGATATGCAACACGATGAACTCGGTTTCAGAACCAACGTACACATCTTCAAAATGATTCGACGTACTCTTACGAAACTGGAGTCTGTAATCTTGGGCTGTAAAGTCGTCATCGACCTGAAGAGAAACGCATGCCGTGAGCCCCTCAGCATCGCGACTCAGGACTCTAAAGAGAACCGCCTAAAAACCAGCGTCCTCCTTCCTTTCCTCATGACAACAAAGAGCAAATTCCGCTTAAATGTCAGCAGCAGCGCTCAAGAAAGCTGTACGAAATACACCCCAGGGAACAACTGCACTGTAAACTCCTCGAGGATCCAGGAGGACGGCACATCATTCTCCCCAGCTGGCACACAATAAGCGATTAATAAACATCGGCTGAATTGAGTAATTTATAGCTTCCACGGAAGATGAACAATCCTGCTTCTTAAAAGTACGATATGTAAACAGAACTCTGGAAACGACTCCGTAAGAGATTACGGAAGACAAAATATAGCGCTAGGGACAAAAGATTTACACATCAATTGTCCCTTCTCTACAGCTGCTCCCGTACAAAATATGGAACAAAGGCCCTGTTTTCAATGAGTAGAGACTACTAACAGCTACTTTATTTGAGCCTTACTAATATCACTGCTGTCTTCCATACCACAGCTCCTTCTTTTTTTTTTTTTTGGCTAGGCAATGGAGTTAAGTGACTCCCCCAGGGTCACACAGCTAGTAAGTGTTACATGTCTAAGGCTGAATTTGAACTCGGGTTCTCCTGACTCCAGGGCCAGTTCTCTATCCACTGCACCATTTAGCTGCCCCCATCTCACAGCTTCTTAAGAGAACTAAGATTTATCACACTCAGAAATAACATTTTCACAAACTGGGTAGTGACCTATAGATAACGTATCTGTCAACAGCGGAGACATCACAAGAGATTGACCCTTATATACATTGTGGAAATGTAATGTGAAAATTTTCGAAGAATGAAGTACTGAAGTAGAAAACACTCTTTATGAATCTGATTTTGGAAGTGTTCTAAAAGTTAGAACAGTAGTGAACAGAGATGGAGGCAGGCCAGGTAACTTTCAGCAACAGCTTCTGGCTTTCCCACTGAACACATGTGCGACACATCCCCAACCCACGACAAAGCTGAGCTGGAGAACTGGTGATGGGAAATGATGCACAGGAAGATGTGAAGGAAGCAAGGCACCTTTCTAAACAACTATCTCCTCCAGACTAGAAAAGCTCTCTCAGTTCAAGTTCCTTTTTACTTTATTTGGATCAGAAAGGGATTTTTATTTTGAGTCAATAAGAAAATCAGCTGAAGCCTTAAACATGAAATAAAGAACAAGGCAGCTTAAACATTTTAAAGCAAACTTCTCACACTGAATAACTCACCTTACACCATCGTACTATGATGCCTCCAGGCTTTTCTATGAGTTCTTCTATCTGTACTGGTGGCCGAGATGCAACTGTGCCATGATTGAAAATCTGATCCTTGATTATGGTGAGAATTGAGTCATCCAACTGAGCAGATAAACACGGCACGTCAACCAGTAGAGGCACTTCTGGCAAGCTGGAGAAGCCACATTAATGCTTACTGATGTTTGAAAACATTGAGACGAGAGAAGAGGATAAACTGAAGAACTGAGCAATGGCTCCAATTCTACACTGCCTACACGCTTCTGAAACTCTGCGGGGAGCTGAAGCCCAGTGACGTTTCTAGAAGCAGGAGTTACGCAAGATGTACTAACGTGTTCCCATTTGACAACCACAAGGAAATATAACCACAGAGTTTGTAGAAAATTGGTAGGGTCTCAACTGTCAATTTACAAAGATTAGCCTTTATATCTAAGGAATGTTTCTGTTTCAACAACACACTTGGAAACTAAAACCATATGATCTTTCCATTTTACATGAACATCTGCAAAATTGAAAAAGATGATAGTTACTACTGTTTTGTTTTAATTTTTTAAAAATGTGTATCATCTTTTTTCCATATCACTTTCATTTCTGAACACACCCCCTTATCCAGTGAGCCATATCCTTGTAACTAGGACTGAAAAAAAAAGCAGTTCGGCAAAACTAACCGAAACATCAACCAAGTCTAATGGTATGTGGGATGTTTCATACCCATAATCCTCCTCTGTTTAAAAAAAAAAAAGGCAGAGAGCCACCACAATTGTGTATAAGTAATACTGGAAAGAAAAATAAAAAATAAGGGTAACCCTGGAAATGAATATTCTCCATCTCCCTCAAAACCAACTATCTATCTGTAATAAAAAGAAATAGCACATGCTAGGTTCAATTCTCAAAAAACAAACTAATGGTAAGAATAATTCCTTTACCTGTCCAATTGAATGTGTGAGGCCTTTTTGGTAAAGTTCCATAGTTTTTCATTCTTTTCTCCCATACCACCAAGTATGGCAACCTCACCTGGGGCCAGAGAAGAGAAAAACAGTACTATTAAGCAATGAGTTAAAGGAAAAAACACCACGTTTTGGCTATCAAGTGGTAACTGGTAGAATTCTTATCAAGCTGGTTTAATGGTTAAATACAAAGCCAGGAAAAAAAAACACAACAACACACCAAAACTCTCCATATTTCCTCAGTTCACATACAAAGGGGAAAAAGGATAGACAACTATTAATAAGAGGTACTACTGAGCGAAGGTTCTCTGGGAAACTTATGGAGAGGGACATAGGAAGGAATTTAGGATAATTAAAAACAAAATTACCAATAACATTTATTATTTTTTTAAAATTACTAGTAGAAAAAAAAGTCCAAGGATTGAAGGGGATAGAGGATGGTGATAAAGGGAATAATCATTTACATTACATTATATATATGTTACTATGTGCCAGGTTGTGCTAAGCGCTTTTAGAAATATTATCTCATTTGATTCTTACAACAACCCTTCAGTATAAGTGCTATGATGATCACCCCCATTTCGCAGTTGAGGAAACTGAAGATTAAGCGACTTGCCAGGAGACACACAGCTAAGAAGTGCCTGAGGCCAAATTCGCACCCAGGCTCAGCACTCTATACACTGCCCCATCAGCTGGTGACCAGCCTCTTTGAGAGAGGAGAGCCAATGACAAGCAATCAAAGAAGGGCTCTGTTTTGAATAAATAATATCTGACTCGATATCATAGTTTTCCCAGAAAGACTACTCAGTGTCAGTGAAACAGAGAGCCCAGTAACTTCTAACTTTCCCCACCACAGAATCATTAGCAAACATAAGGAAATGATGCATATTACTACCTCTGCCAGAATGCTAACACACAATCTCTTACAAAGACAAGTGACAGAGTTATATTTTCTTTTTGTGAGGCAATTGGGATTAAGTGACTGCCCAGAGTCACACAGCTAGTGAATGTTATGTGTCTGAGGCCAGATTTGAACTCAGGTCCTCCTGACTCCAGGACCAGTGCTCTGTTCACTGCGCAATCTAGCTGCCCCCAGAGTTATATTTTCTAAAAAGAATCCTGTACAATATTAGTACAATGGGTTGGGCAGAACAATGACAGAAAAACTGAAGGAAGCAAAACAGGCCTAACAAGGATATCTTATATTGCACAACCAACTACATTCATTTGTTGAAAGAAAGCAATAATTTGTGTTGCTACTACTTCTCCATCAGACTTTAACACTGCTGTTATGGTCCTAAAGTTCTTAGGATCACAGGATCTTTAACAAAAGGAAAAGAGAGTTAGGTCAGTTCAACATAATCTTTAAATTTCTATAAATAAGTTTTTATTTTGCAAGCTAAAAACAGGATTTGAAAATTAAAATACTTAAGCAGCAAATACTGTAACAAATATTTATGGTATGTGTATCTAGGAACTTGTTTTCTAAAATTAAAAAATCATATCCTATTCCTTAGGGAAGCGGGTACGCATTCTTGACCTGTATGAATTGCCTTTTAGTTTATTTCTAAATTTAAAGCCTCCAGGAGGACAATCATGTGTGGTTCATAAAACAAACCTATAAAAAGGTAATTTGTCCTAGTGTCTTGTCAATTCATACTGAATAAGGCAAAGATATAGAGTCTTTTGTATGCGAAGATGATATGAATCATGCATTAATAATAGTGGGGTGGAGTGAAGTTATTTTCCAGTAGTTATGACCCATGACCTACATTCATGCACATTATCTGTCCAAGCATGCCTCTTGTCACTAACAACATACAATCTGAGGATAAGGAGTGAGAGTGAATAAATAAAAAAAATTCTCTGAATTCAATTTAATTTTATTTTAGTTCTGAATTCTCTCTTTTCCTCTCTCCTCTGCCACCCCTACCTATTGAGGAAGCAAAAACAGGGTCTGCAAACCAAGAGACGGAGCAGTGGAGAGTACGAGAGGCACAATTCAATGCCCAAATTTAAGGAATCTATTTTTTCAAGCTCATCTGGGAGCGCTTCTGATGGCAAAATTACAAAAAAACCAAGAGGAAAAAAGCAAACTCCTCCATAAAAACCATCAAAGAATCAAAGGACAGGAGAGAGTTCTAAAGTATCAGCTTCATCCAAACAAAGGAGCAGGAAGGATTACTAGAATCCAGGCTGTTCAATTAATGGTAAGGAGGCAAACAGCACTGAACTGAACAATAAACATTCATCTGTGAAAGACAGAGCTTACCATCTGTTTTCTTCAAAATATCCAAATATCCAAAACTGATTTGACTTCAACTTTTTTCACTGTCATAATTTCACTTCTTCCCCCATTTTTTATTTAATTTTTCCTAGAGTGGTTTGTCTTTTTGATGTTTTATTTCACATCTTTCCCTTAATGACATAAGGTTAATTTCTGAAGGGTTCAGTGGAACTCCTGATAAAACTAAGCCTTCTCTCATTAAGGTACCAATTGTCAATTTAAACATTGTATATGGAAGCCTTAGAACCAATTCTACTATAATAAGTATTGATGTACATGTAAAAACGAACATTGCTTATATTTTCCCTACATGAGTATATGTGATTACCCCAGGATTCTGTGTAGTTACTTTGTTTAGTCTATAGAAGATCACAAGACAAGTCTTAATCTGCCTTCACTTTGGAATGACGTTTACAAATTTTAAGATGATGTCTGTAAAATCAGATATTATTAAATTACCTTAGACTAGGACTTAATAAAACTCCAGAAAGTTTACTGGTCCTACCTTTTTGTTTTAGAATTGCAGGTATGAATAGCATATAGACTTTGACATCAGAAAGTATGGATAGTATGTAGACTTTGCCCTCAGGGAGATAATTAAGCTTAACCATGTTACTATATTGTTATAATAAACTTTTATAAGAATGGGCTGATATATTTGTTTTCTCTGGCTTCTCCTACAGTAGTCTGTTGGGAATTATATTGTTCTGGCTATTCAATTAAGGGCTAACATACACCTAAGTTAACTTGATTGAACTACACTAGGCTTTTAGCTGCTTTTTCCTATGTTATCAGAAAAGTAAGGCACAGGAATGGTGAAAAAGAGAATATACAAAAACTCTGGACACAATAGCAATAAGATCTGAAAAAGGACATAGGGATCTGTCTGAAACCAGGCAAAACCTGGGAAAATCTTGTGTATATTAAAGGGAAATACAACTGAGAAGTTAGGAAAAATGGAGAGACTAATGCATATACAGCTTCACACTGAAGGCAAGCCCAGATAAGATTACATTTTGAATGATCTATGCGATCGTATTTTTAGAGCAGGACATACATTTAGGTAAGACGGTGAAAAATGAGAAAGCGAGAAAAACAAAACCCATTACAAATATGGATAGTCAAGCCAACGTGTTCCTGCATTTGCCATTTAAAAAAGCTTCAATCTGCACTCCAGCTCCACGGCTCTCTACCTGGAGGTGAGCAGCAGCATGTTTCATATTGAGCCCTCTGGAACTGTAGTTGCTTGATCAGAGCGACTAAGACTTGCGTGTCTTTATGATATTGTTGGGGGTCTGTACAACCTGTGGCCCATGGGCCACTTACGACCTGAGGGCATGCCAAAGGATTTCAGGCCCACGGGCCACAGGTTGTGCAGGCCTGGTATACGTTGTTCTCCTGGTTCTGCTCCCTTCCCTCTGTGTCAGTTCATGTAAATCTTCCCATTTCTCTGAAATCATCCCCTTCCTAATTTCTTACGTCACAATCATATTCCATCACATTCACATATCATAACTTGTTCAGTCATTCTCACCTTAATTTCCAATTCTTTTTTTTTTTTTTTTTTAGTGAGGCAATTTGTTATGTGTCTGAAGCCGGATTTGAACTCAGGTCCTCCTGAATCCAGGGCCAGTGCTCCATCCACTGTGCCACCTAGCTGCTCCTTTAACTTCCAATTCTTTGTCACCACCAAAAGAACTGCAATAACTATTTTTGTACACATGATCCTTGAAAAAAACATTTATTAAGCACTTCCTATGTGGTAAGTACTGAGGATACAAACAGAAAATACACAGATCTCACATTCTAATTGGCAGAGACACCACAGAAAAAAGCAAGTTTAATTGCAAGATAGATGGCAAAGCCCATAAGTCCGAAAGGTGGTGTGTGTGGCGGGGAGAGGGAAATGGCCAGGCCCAGAGGTCCTTAGGTTACATCGGTAGGTCATATGACAGTGCCAGGGGGACTGCAGGGAAGATTGTCGGGTATGGTGTTTCTCTATCTCACTGGAAGACACACACTTGGTGACTCCAACCTTCTTAAGACCCAGTATGTAATCAGCAGACAAAGGGAAGGGGTAAAGCAAAGGGGCAGGATGCCTCGAGGCGGTGGCAGGTCTTCCCACTGCCTGGCCTTCCCAGACGGATATGTTCTGTGGTTGCAAAAGTCTCAGATAAGAGCAAAGCTAACTAGAATCCAGGCAACAAGATCAACCCTGAGTCCTTAGCTTTATAAGTAAAGCCATGCTCTGTCTCTGTGGCACTCTGCTCAAAGCGATCCAAAGAAGAACAGCACTACTTTTTGAAAAGTGGTTACTAAGTCCCAGTACACAGGCAATGGTGTAAATATGGTCAGCTCTAGGAACCACACCACCCACATCCAATCCTGAAAGTGGTAAAGAAATGGCATCAAAAACCCCAGGTCATTGAAATATGAATTTCTGAAACTGATGGACCCTAAGTTCCAAAGAAATACATGCTTTGCTGAGGTGCGTTAACAAGGAGGGACTGAAGATGACATAGGCCAGCGATGCTACTAAGGCCCTCGGCATTATGTCCCCAATGCCGAGATCACCAAACCCATTGGTCCTACAGTGTAACCTTGCCTCAAGATTACCACCAAAGCCACTGGGCTCAAATTTACCACCAAATATTCAAGTTTCTTGACATTCAAGTCCACCAACCCCAAACTTACCAGAAATTCTGAGGAAGCCATCAGCCCACCAAATCCACTGATCACCAGCACTAAGGCCTCTAGGGTCCAAACTGCCAGTCCAAAATCTATCAGATAAAATGCTTTACAACAGAAGAACTTGTTTGAACCCTAAGTGCAGTCTGACCCCAGCCAAAGCATCATCATTCACTATTTTCTACAAATGAAGAAAATAGTAAGGCACAAGAACTATCCAAAAGGAAAAAATATTAAAAAAAAAAAACAAAAATAGTAAAAAAGGAACTGTCAATCATGTCACTCAAAGGCTAGAGGAAAATTCTGTAATTCAATTTTTTGAACTGCATGACTGCTGAAAACACCCCCTACAAACAATCTCTAGGTCAAAAGCAAGTATGGATAAAAAGACCACCAGAATTAGCATCAGATGACCTAGACTCAAGTTCTTGGCTCTAATCTTTGCTAGTGGTGAAGCAGGTCACGGGCAAGTCCCTGAGTTTCACTTCCATGACATGCAAAACAGGAATCCTACTACTTATAGTGTAGAAAGACGGTGTGGCTAGAGAGCAGGCCTTGGAGGTCCCACCCAACGGACTGAAAGCCCTGAACTCAAGGGCTGCCTCTGACAAATTCTGTGTCACCCCAGGAAAGTCTCTTAGCCTCTCCTAGTTCTAGGCAATTTCAGAAGACTCTAAGTTGTGGAAAAAGTGTCCAACTAAATGGACAGAGACATTTTTTCATCTGGGAATCCCCTCTAGCAATGAAATCACAGATCCACTCCTTATGCCTACTAGTTCTTCTACCTAATTTATAGGTCTTTGATAGAAAAACAGTTTGTAAACTGTGAAGAACTAATTTACAAGCTACTATCATTTACATGAATGGAGAGACATCATGCTGATACTGAGTTTGAGAGCCCAAGGACCCTCTGACACTTGCTTGCTGTGTGATCTTAGACAACTCCCTTACCCTCTCTGGGCCTCAGATGTCTCACCTGAAAAGTGAGGTGACAAGACTCAATGAGCTCTAGAAGCCCTTCCAACAACCCTAGAGAACTTAAAAATGATTAGCTGGGCTTCCACCAAACAAGGCGATAAAGTCTGAAGCCAAATGTGCTTTTCTTTTACAGAGCACTGTTTGAATCTATTCTGAGGCGGGGTGTGTTGCTGCACATCCGTCATTCTGAATTACATACAGAGATTTTAAGAAGACAACTATGAACATCTTACAAAACTACCCAAATGGGAAAGAGTCTGTTGAACTTGGACAGATCACTATGACGTCACAGTTCTTACAAACATACGTACACAGGCCCCGCTCCCTACCTTCTCGGACTAAATCTTCGGCAGTGCTGACTCCGTGCTCTATGAGTTTCTGGCAGTCATCTAACGGCTTGATCGTCTCCTGCTCGATAGCGTCCACTTCTTGCAACAGAGACACTAATCGTTCATCCAAGAGCTTCCGGAGGGTTCCCTTCAGATCATTAAAATGTTGCCTGAGGACATCTCTAGTCTGTGATGCACTCTCTTTGATCTGAAAAGACATAAAAACTGGGAAATCACAACCTCTGAAAAAGACCAGGATAATACATGGATCCATATGATCATAAATACAGAACTCAATGGGTCCTGAGAGATCACAACCAATGGTCATTCTAGGGTACCGCATAATTATCATCTGGACACTACCACTTGAGCCTGGGTTCAAGTCCTGGCTCTGACTAAAACTTACTGGTTGTGATTTTGGGAAAAGAAATAAAAACTTTTCTAAGCCTCCATTTGCTCATCCATAAAATGGGTATAATACCACTTGTGGTTATGTAGTTTGTCCTTCAATCTCGAAGAGGTCCAGGATATCAGGGAGATGATGACATGACTTGCATTGAATTGGATTTGAATGAGGGAGGACTGTGCAAAGTCACCAGCCTCACTTTCTCCTCTAGAGCCATCTGGGTCCAGTGGCCAGGTATCAATCAGGACAACTGGAGATGGCGTAATAACACTTGCAGTACCACAGGGTTACTAAGAGGATTGCTGCCTTATCCCCTACTTCATGAACTCTATTTGTCTAAAGAAACTAGATTATTTGTTGACTGACAAGATATCATTGGTCATTATTATTGTAATTATTACTACTGGCATTCTCCAATAACCATGACCAGGTACAATGTCATTCCAGATGTGGGTAATAATTTTACATTTCCTTAGTTGTCCTTAAATAAATTTTGTTGGGGGAAAACTGCACAGGTGTATAATGGAATATTACTGTGTTGTAAGAAATGACAAATATGATAAATATAGGTAAGAGTGGAAAAACTTACATGAATTGACCCAAAGTGAAGCAGAGACAAGAAAATAATATACATGATGACTATAACTACAAAACAATTTGAAAATGTATATTGTAAAATTACAAAGAACAAGTGTGGCCCCAAAGAAGAGATATGAAAATACACTTTCCCTTTACTCCTTCGCAGAGAGTGGGGATTGGGGAAGAAGTCCACAAGTGTAAAACACGGAATAGATTGTCAGATTTTTTTTTCACTGAATTAAGTGGTTTTGCTGATTTTTTCCCCCTTTCTCTTTTTCTTTAAAAAAATGTCTTTGTTATATGGAATAATTTTTTGGGGGGGAGAATACAGAAGAAAGTTTAGGTGATGTAAAAATAAAACATTAATAAAATTTATTTTAAAAGAGAAAATTGCATAGATTCGGAATTCTTTTCTGATTAAAAAAATTGGCAAAGAACAACCAAGAATGAATTAAAAGTCACGAGAGAGAAATCATCTCATAAAAAAATATCCGTCTGCTAGGATAACTACAAACTAGATATTAATTTTCAATCTCAAGAGGCCCACTGGAGAATGGACAAAGTAAATTAAATGCCAATCTCCCAAGGAAAACAGGTCAGAAAAATGTTTCTGGCCTATACATCTATTAAAAACAAATTTAACTTGCGTATTTCCCAAAATGTTAAAGAAAGAATTTACTTAACATGCAATTCATACCATCTCATTTAATATGGGACTTGCCTGTGAAGAAGAGACAAATAGGATTACAAAAATTAAAACAACCACATACCAGGTTTTGTAAGTTTTGTCATGTTAAAAGTGAAATTCTACTATCTTAATCCATATATTTGTATTCCATTTCAGGTTCACTATGCCTAGTTTTTAACCACCAAGAAAAGACATCCAAGGAAGAACATATCAAAATGTGGTACACAGTAGAAAACAGAAATTCAGATTGAAAAAAATAGAATTTGAGTTTGTCATTTTATCAAAAGACAGCTATGAAATAAATCCACGTGTCAAATAAACCAAGATAAGGCAACGGATTTAACGTACTTAATTTGGTTTATTGTGTAATTTTAAGAATTCATTTTTAAAAATCAGAGAAAAGAAAGCACAGAGAAAAATAATATAATATAAATAAACCACCATGGTTCAAACTATCTTTATAATTTTTACTTCTATCACACTGCTGCAAATTCTGCAGTAAGCAGCCCACAAAAGAGGTTGCATCTAGGGCTTTATAAGCAACGGATGCAGCACACATAGGAAGTACCTCAGTTAAGCAAAGGCAGTTTCCTTTTCAGAAAGAATTCAAAAGCTCTTCAACTACTCTAGAACCTACACGTATCTTGTTTTTCTTTTGGGACCTACAAAAAAAGGAAGTACGTGGATACAGAGCAGCAAAAAAGCTGGAGATCAGGGAATATACTAAAGCCCCCTCACTTCCTGAAGTCCTACCTTCAGGCTTTGTCCATGTTACTCAAAGCCCTTCATTTAGTACTAGAGAATTAGACACTGCCTTGGAACAAACATCCTTTTCCTCCAATATTATGGTGTACAGCAGTGGTGTCAAACACAAGTAGAAAGGGAGGTCGCTAAATCACACATAAGGATCCCTGGGGTCACAGAATGACTTAGAAAATCACATATTAATATTATCTGTGTTCTATTGTATTTTTACAAATTTTGTTAAACTTTTGCCAATTCTAATCTGCACCAGTCATGTCTGACATCTCTGGCGTATGGCAGCTCAACCATATGGAACTAAATCACTTATCTAACCAATTTTTTCTTGGGTTTTGTGAAGCTCATTAGAAAGTACTGACCAGCTCCACAGACTTTTTTTTTTTACAGTATTTATTAGTCTGAAATAAAAATATGGAATGACTCTATAAGCAGGGGTTCTTAATAGTTTGTAATAGTCTCTTTTATTTACTGCATTTAAAAACACTGTTCTCAGGAGTCCACAGACTACATGAGACTGCCAAAGGGATCCATAATACCAAAAATGCTAAGAACCCCTGCCATAAAATGTCTTCCAGAAATGCTCATGACACATATTTCACCTGAGATTTTATTTTCAGGCTAGTGAAAGATGGATTTTAATTGAAACTTGATTCAGAAGCCAAAGTAAAAGGATGTCGGTAAATGACAGATCAGAGACCTGCGGCATACAAAAAAGACCACAGGATCTGGAGTCAGGGATCTGGTTTGAAGCTCAGCTTTGCTATTTATTTGCCTACAGGATCTTAAGCAAATCCCTTAAGCCTTCTGGGCCGCAATACTCCGCTACAAAATAAAGAGATAGAGCAGATGATCTCACAGGGCTATTCTTTAAAAATTTACAATCCTATAATATGCTTTAAGTTGTGTGACAGAATTGATTAGGAAATGTCAAAAAAATTGGAAAGTGAATTGTTTCTGTTGCTCCTGCTACAGAATTCCTGCCCAAACCAGGGAGACAGTATGGTATCACCAAAGGAACACTGGTCTTCAGATCATAAGACTGACCTTTGAGGCTGTGTGACTTGGGCAAATCTCTTACCCTCTGTGAGCCTCAGTTCTTTCATCTGTCAAACTAGGAAAGTAACACTCTCACTAATTTGGAAGTATGCCCCCAAAGTCACTAAACTGTACAGACCCTTTGATCCAGGAACATCCATACTACCCCAAAGAGAACAGAGAGGAAAAGGACCCATGTAGACAAAAATATTTAAAGCAGCTCTTTTTGTAGTGGCAAAGAACTGGAAACTAAGGGAGTGACCACCAAATGGCAAATGGCAGAACAAATGACAATATATAAGTGTAATACCACTGTGCCATAAGAAATGGGAGTTGGTTTCAGGGAAACACGGAAGACTTGACGTATGAACCTGAAGTATAAACTGATGCAGAAAAATTAACGAATCACAAAAATAATTTATACTGTAAAGACAAACCACTTTAAAAAAAAAAGAAAGAAAAGAAAACAACTCTCTGAGGGACCTGAGAGCTCTGATCAATGTATGACCATCCATGACTCTAGAGGACAGATAACAAAGCATGTCCGCTTTCTGCAAAACAGATGACAGACTCAAGATGCAAAATGAGACATATTTTTGGACACCGCCAATGTTAGAATGTGGTTTTTTTTTTTTTGGTTAGGCAATGGGGTTAAGCGACTTGCCCAAGGTCACACAGCTAGTAAGTGTTATGTGTCTGAGGCCGGATTTGAACTCAGGTCCTCCTGACTCTAGGGCCAGTGCTCTATCCACTGCACCACCTAGCTGCCCCTAGAATGTGTTTTGCTTGACGATGCATATGTGTTTTAAGGACTTTTCAATGTGGGGAGAAGAAGGAAAAGAAAATAAATGCTTGGTAGTTGGAAAAAAAATTAAAGCTTTTCTTCAACTTGCACTACTTACTTCATGGGGCTACTTCAAGAATAATCCTTTGTCAACCTTAAAGCACTACACAAACATGAGCTATTACAATTAAACTGGCATCTGTCTGTCTGAGGCAACAATGATGAAAGTCGAAAAAAATCAGAAACTGTGAATTGTCCAAAGCTGGGAGTACTCAATGTATCACCAAAAAAAATTGTGATAAAGATTGTTAAAGTTGACTACTACTATGTTTTGTTGCAGCTTTCCACTCAAACCTCTCCAGTAATGTAGAACGTTAACTTAAGTTTACAAAGTTTCTAATGTACTGGATCTAATCCAACTGAAATCATTGGGGTTGGGTTTGTTTTTTTTTTTTTAAAAGCTTAAAACATGATGAGCTCAGAAAACACTGAGGTCATCAAATATATATTTCAACACTAAGATGTGGGAAGACTAGCACCCCCTTCTACAAGATCCTGATCCCCCCAACTGCTACTGCCAGCTCTTCCAGACTAACAGCTCTGCATTTATATTGATTTTGTACATACTTATATATGAACTTGTCTCCCTAGTTAGCATGCAAATGCCTTGAAAGCAGGGATTGTTTGATTCTTTTTTTTGAATATGTGTCACCCAGGGCTAACAATGCCTGAGATGTATGAAATGCTTGCTGCTTGTTGGATAAGAACTTATGCAACATCCTTGCCAAGATGCCCATGACTAATAGTCACTGTGGACTTTGTTACTAAAAAGTCATAAAACTGTCTTTTAGAACTATCTAGTTTTCTTTTTAAATGCCACAAATACTAGTATTAACTCAATGCATTTAAATACATGTAGAGCACCTACTACCTGCAAAGCACTGTTAGGTACTA